CCGGTGGAGGAAGTGGTGAGCTGCCGTAGGGGCCGCAGGCAATCTGGTAAGATCTAGCGTGGGATCGGATGGGCAAGGGAGAGAGCAGGAGGAACTCCATCCTCCACCCGCTCCATCCACCTTAATCCATCCCCCATGTGACTCACTGGGGAGCAGGCTTGGGCAATGTGGTACAGGATAGTTACAGCACAGGAGGAGGCCATTCAGCCCACCCAATGCCAGGCCATAATCTTCGAAACGAACGCAGAGAATGTGAGAGGGAGAGAGAGACGCGCAACAGGTTTGGCAGCATCTGTAGAGAGAGAGAGAGAGAGACAGAGTTAGCGTCTCAAGCCCATTATGACTCTTTCTCGGCTTAGTCAAAATAATTTTTGGAATTAGTTTTGCAGGGTCCCAGGCTGACTGCCATCTTGATGGCCTGGAGGATGCCATTGTGTCACATTTACACTGAGTGTGCGAGAGGTTATAATCCCCTCTTTCATCAACCCAAGAGGCTGCTGCTCCTGGATTTCTGGCTAAACTCCAGTCCCCTCTTCCCGATTTTTGGATACCTTTTGTGGAGGGGAGCATGTTGGAGGTTGGCCATCTTATCTTGGCTGGAAGCTTGGACAGGTCCAGGCAGAATGCCTTTGCGTTAGGGCCAGATCATTCGGCCCAATTCTACAACTTGTTTCCATGGATACATTTGTCACCCGCGCCGGTGTTCCTGGAGATGGAGCACATGTTGTTCATTTGAGGCCCTGTGCAAGAGGTGGGCCATCAGAAAAACAGAAGTGCGTTGTCCATATTTGAAATCGAATTTTGGCTCTTGTCATTGGATTAGGTTTCAATTTTGTTGAAGTTTATTGGTTGCACTTTTTTTATTAAGAGAGAAAGGCACTTACAGTCATAGAAATGTACAGCACAGATACAGACCCTTTGGCCCAACTCGTCCATGCTGACCAGATGTCCTATATAAATCTTGTCCCATTTGACAGCCTTTGGCCTATATCCCTCTAAACCCTTCCTATTCATATACCCATCCTGATGCCTATTAAATGTTGTAATTTTACTAGCCTGCACCACTTCCTCTGGCAGCTCGTTCCATACACACACCACCCTCTGTGTGGAAAGGGTTGCTCCCTTAGGTCCCTTTTATATCTTTCCCCTCTCACTTTAAACCTGTGCCCTCTAGTTTTGGACTCCCCCCACCCTGGTGAAAAGACCTTGCCCTTCACTCTGTCCATGCCCCTCCTGATTTTATAAACCTCTATAACGTCACCCTTCAGCCTCTGATGCTCCAGAGAAAGTAGCACCAGCCTATTCGGCCTCTCCCTATAGCTCAAACCCTCCAACTCTGGCAATATCCTTGTAAATCTTTTCTGAACCCTTTCAACTTTCACAACATTCTTCCTATAGCAGGGAGACCAGAATTGTATGCAATATTCCAAAAGTAGCCAAACGAATGTCCTGTACAGCTGCAACATTACCTCCCAACTCCTATACTCTGTGCACTAACCAATAAAGGCAGGAGTACCAAACAGCCCCTTCACTATCCTATCAACCTGCGATTCCACTTTCAATGAACTATGAACCTGCACGCCAAGGTCTGTTTGTTCAGCAACATTCCCCAGGACCTTACTATTAAGTGTATAAGTCCTGCCCTGATTTTCCTTTCCAAAATGCAGCACCTCACATTTATCCAAATTAAACTTCATCTGCCACTCCTTGGCCCATTGGCCCATCTGATCAAGATCCCGTTGTATTCTGAGGTAACCTGCTTCCCTGTCCACTACATATCCAATTTTGGTATCCTCTGCAAACTTACTAACCATAACCACCTATGTTCACATCCAACTCATTTATATGTTTTAATTGATACTGACATCAGTCATCAGTTATCAAGCAGAAAACTGAGTTAGTCAACGTTTCTTGCCTACAAATGTTCGAGTTAGGAATAGGCCACTCAACCCTTTGAACTTGCTATCCCATCAATAAGATCGTGGTTGATCTGATCTCCATGTTCCCACCCACCCACCCACAGTAACCTTTCACCCCCTTGCTTTTCTTCCTCTGCCTTAAAAATAAGATTCAAAAGTAGTCTGCTTTTTGAGAAAGCGAATTCCAAAGACTCACCATCCTGTACGAGAGAAAAGATTTTTCTTCATCTCTTGTCCCTAAAGCCGGTGACTCCTTCCTTTTGAACAGTTCTAGGTTCTTAGCAATTCAGGAGCAGCAATTTCTCACTCAGTTTTAATTCGTCTAACGCCACGTTTGCAATTTAGTGACTTTCAGGTTTTAGCTGGGCACGGCAGTTACAATGCTGGCCTGCTCTGTCTGCACGCGCTGGTGAAAAAACATTCTCTTCGCCACAGAAGCGGCAACACCACCTCGTTTGTTTTACAGTTCCACTGTCCAACTTTGAGGGGTTGTCGGCTGGGACATTGATAGACAGCAGTGTGACTCCCTCCGTGCTCCCTCAGCTCTGCCCACAAGCAGCGGGTTGTAAGGCTTTGAGGTTGTAAAAGGAGCTGCATGCCACAAACTTGATGATGCAGCTCTCAGCAGTAGCAGCAACAACCTGCATCTACGTAGACACCCCACCCCTTTTACCTACTTCGCAAGAACGCGCGATTCCACACCAAGTCCACCCGAGTTTGGCGAACAAATTTAACAGCGTCTTACTGCTAAGAGAGAGTTGGAGAGATCAAGGGAGGAACTTCAGGGGTAACTTGAACCCATCAGTGGTGGGGCAAAGCGGGTGGGAGGCCGGAGTTGGAGGAGCACAATTCTCAACAAATTGTTGGGTGGGAAATGTTTCTACCTGAGTGTAAGACCGTAACAAACTCACTGTGCTGAAAACGTCTGCAATCCTGAGGTGGGAGAACTCCGTTATTAATGTGGCTCACCGGTGCTTTGAACTGGAGTCTTCACAACAAGTCCAGTGAAAGGAAATGCAAGGCTCATTTGTATGGCAATAATCTGAAAGGATGCCTTTATCTCTCACTCTTTTCTTCGCTTTTCTCCCCCCTCGCAGAGCCGACAAAACAGATCCTGAAATCCTTGGTACAGAGCGGTGAGTAAATTTACTCCCAAGCAAAATAAATACCTAGTTTCTCCGCCATCCAGCACTCCTGCTCCCTCCAAGGTGCCACCTTCTGCAGTGGACTAGCTCTGCGGACACAGGCCATATACCATCCAAGGGTCAATCCTTTACCTTTTGCGATCCCTCTCTACAATCCCCTCACTGCAGCTCCTGTGCATATTCCAACAACAGAATATGAGCAACACTATTTAACTGTGGGAGGCGTCATGATTGAAAAGATCATTTCCCCCACCTCCTCCCCGCCAACCCCCCCTCCCCCCCAAAAACCCTGTCCAGCACAGGAACAGGGGAAGCAGGCCATTCAGCCCTTCCAACATGTTCTACAATTCAATGAAAAGATGGCTGCTCGGCCCATCAATTGCCACCCCCACCTACCCTGTTTCCGTAACCATTACTTCTCTTCGCTGACGAAGATCTACCTATGTTAATTTTGAAATTTTCAATTTATTCCTTTTTTGGGGAAGGAGGTTTCTAGAGTTCCAATATCCTTAGTGTGAAGACATCACCCTGAATGACCTGGCTCTAGTTTTAAGGTTAAGTTCCTTTGTTCTGGACTCGGAGGAAATAATTTCTCCTGGACCAAGAGGCCTGGGTTCAAGTCCCACCTGCTCCAGACATGTGTGTTCACATCTTTGAGCAGGTTGATTAGGAAAATAATCGGAAATAATTTGTAATCCAGTATTCGGGGGATTTGAAGTTACTCCAATTAGAACATAGGCTTAATTTGGACCATTCTTTTTCATAAACTGTGACAGAATTTTTTAAAAATCTGGAATTATGGGTCTGATACTGACCATGGAACCATTTTTCTGGGGACCCGGATTCAAATCTCGTCACGGCAGATGGTGGAATTTGAATTCAATAAATATCTAGAATTAAGAGTCTAATAATGACCATAAATCCATTGTTGATCGTTGAGGAAAAACCCATCTAGTTCACTAATGCCCTTTAGGGAAGAAAACTGCCATCCTTACCTGGTCTGGCCTACATGGGACTCCAGACTCTCAGCAATGTGGTTGACTCTTAACTGCCCTCAGGGCAATTAGGGATGGGCAATAAATGCTGCCTGGTCAGCCACGCCCTCATCCCGTGAACGAATAAAGAAAAAAAATTGTTGATTTGTTGTTGAAAAGACTATCTGGTAATCATCAGAATCCACTCAGGTAGATCACCCCTTCAGTTTATATACTCAAAACAATGCTACTTAATCTACCCTCACAGTTAAGCCTTTTTAACCCCCAATATTCTTTTAGCCAGTCTGTGTTTTTAGTCTCTTCAAATGTTAGCAAAGGTACATTCTTCCAGAGGTGGTTTATTTCTTGATGGGAAAAATAGTTCCTTGAAGGATAACATTTTGAAAAATGAGTGCTGATAACCTGATCGAAAGCAACCTGTAGATAACATTAGTGCTTGACTCTGAATAAAATTCTTCCCTCCCTCACATTCCCCACCTTTTCCTAAAGGCACTGATCCATTATTTGGATGGCTGTTTCTGAGACATCTCTGGTAACTCAAGCCTGAAATTGCTATTTGGCTGTGGGGGGAAGCACAGATGATCAGATGTGAGCCTCAACAATATTTATCCATTATATAGGGATGAGCTTATTAGTCTCTAAAAGAAACACTTGCATTAATATAACTGTCATAACCTCAGCATTGAAGTGTTTTGCAAACAATGAAATACTTTCAAACTTGTAACGTAAGAAACACAGCAGATAATTTACACACATAAGATCTCACAAATAGCAATGTGATAATGATTAGATAATCTACTTTAATGATGCTTGAAGATAAATATCTGGCAGAACATGAAGGATGACCTCCCCCAATCTTCAAAATATTTACTATATGAAATCTTTGAGAGGACAGGTTTTAATATTTTATTATCTTATCGAGAAAATTGTACATCTGTCATAGCAGCATCTCTGAACTAGAGAGTGAACCTAGATCTTATGCTCGTGACATAATCAAACAATCTTTTGACCCAGAGGCAAGAGAGCTACCAGCCTTGCCAAGTCTGAGCCTCCATCAGCCTTTGTCCACATTCCGACATGTTTTCCCCCTTTCTGTATATTCATGCACCCTCTCCTTGATACTTGAGATGGCTGGATAATTGGCTGTAGCAAAGTTCAGGGGATGTCGAAGTCAAAATGTAAGGGGCTCAAACCCCACTCCAGGAAAGCACCAGATCTAGGCCGGTACACTCAAGTAGTACTGAGCAAAAATTTCATTGTTGAAGGTGCCAACGTTTGGATGAAGTTTTAAATTGAGGGCCCAGTTGTCACCTTGGTGAATCGTCAAAAAAAAACCAGTGCACCTTTCCAAAGAAGGGGTGTTCTTTATAATTATTCATCTCTCAAACAACATTATTAAAGACACTGTCAATTTAGTTGTTATCTCATTTCTGTTCGTAGGAGCTTACTTGTTGCCAACTTCTTATATTTGAATAGTGACAATCTTCTAACAATACCGCATTGGTTGCAAAGCACTTTGGGACATTCTGAGGTCATGAAAGGTGTTATATAAATGTTATCTTCTCAACAGTTAATCATCTTCTACCATCTCCTTGTTGCCAATCATTCCCTTCCCAGTCTGTTGCAAATGGCATCATCAGCTGAGAGTGTTGGTTTTTCTGCCAGTGCCACTTGAGTAAGGCACTGTACCCTCTCCTTTTGCTGACTAAGCATTGCTGCTAATTTGACAGTGGTCACCCATTTCTCCATTATGTGATATCTAATGTTCTCTGTCTCTCTCTCTCTGCCTCCTTCTCCACACTGCTTTATGATATGACGGCACCCCACCTTGAACTCCACAGTTTCTCTAAAGGTAAGACCATCACCTCTGCTCTAATTGTACTGTAATGCTTGGCTTTTGTTTATTAGGCCACGTGTGTCAATGCTAATGGGTAATTGCAATGTTTTTCACTCTTCTCCCCCCTCCTCAAGAAGGAGTTAGATTCTTAGCTAGACTCTGGCTTTTCAACCTCCCTCCAGAGTTTAGGCTTTGAACCTTGAGTGCCTGGCAACTTGTTTGTCCAGCATACAATACTGGCACCCCCCCCTACCCTCATTCACATAGGCATCTGATAGTCATCATTTACGTGAGCAATCGGTTTATGCTGGTCACGTTGGGCTCAAGCCTTCTAACTTGGATGCACTGTGCTCAGTGGTAGCACTGATCTGAGAGATCTGGTTGACATTGAGCCTCACTCTAGCCAAATTGGGCCAATCTCTCAAACAGGATACTGTTGGGGGGTGAAATAGCCTCTCAGGAGATTGCACAAGCAGCAGCCAGGCCTGTGGCACCACAACTGGTTCTGCTGCAAAGCAGGGCAGGGCAAAGTGCAGGCGAGTGACAGGGGTAGGTGACTCGATAATCAGGGGCACAGACAGGCATTTCTGTGGGTGTGAACGAGACTCTAGGCTGGTGTGTTGCCTCCCTGGTGCCAGGGTCCTGCATGTCTCCGAGCAGGTACAGGACATCCCTGAAACAGACAAAAGTCATTGTCCACTTTGGCATAAATGACATGGGTAGGAATTGGGAAAAGGTCCTGCGAGGACAATTCAGAAGTTAGGTAGGGAGCTAAAAAGCAGGTCTACCAGGATAGTCATTTCAGGGTTACTGAATGTGCCACGAGCTAGTGAGGCTAGGAACAGAGAGTACAGTTGAACACGTGGCTAAAGAGCTTGTGTAGGAGAGAGGGCTTTAGATATATGGATCATTGGGATGTCTTCTGGGGAAGATGGCACCTGTACAAGAAAGACGGGTTGCACCTGAACTGGAGGGGCACCAATATCCTGGGCGGGAGGTTTGCTAGAGCTCTTCAGGAGGGTTTAAACTAGTGTGGCAGGAAGGTGGGAACCGGAACATCAGGCCAATAAGTGTAGGGACTGGAAACAAAAGAGAAACTGAGATATGCATAGCGCAGAGTAAAAGCAGGCAGAGGGAAGTCATGGGGCTCAGAGGGACTGGAGGTCTGGAGTGCATTTACTTCAATGCAATGAGTATAGCAGGTAAGATAGTTGAACCAAGAGCATGGATTACAATGTTATTATCATTACAGAGACATTGTTAGAGGAAGAGCAGGACTGGCCGGGATATTGCTGTTTTAGACGGGACAGAAAGGGAAACAAAAGGGGTGGGGGAGTTGCACGGCTTATTAGGGATCACATCACAGCTTTATTGAGGGAGGACACATCGGAGGGATCTTGCAGTGAGGCATTATGGATGGAGCTCTGGAATAGGAAGCGTGAAATCACAATGTTGGGAGTTTTCTGTGGACCTCCCAACAGCACATGGGAAACAGGGGAGCAGATATGTAGTCAGATACTGGAAAGGTGTGAGAAAAGAAGGGTAGTTGTGATGGGTGACTTCAACTTTACTTTTATTGACTGGGACTCCCTTAGACCCAGGGACTCAGATGGAGAGCAATTTGTTAGATGTGTCCAGGAGGGCTTTTTGAGACAGTTATGTTGCCAATCCAACCACAGAGGAGGCCATACTAGACTTGGTATTAGGGAATGAGCCAGGACAGGTGCTCGATGTTTCAGTAGGAGAGCACTTTGGCCTAAGTGACCATAACTTCATAAGATTTCAAGTAGTCATGGATAAGGACAAGAATGGTCCTCGGGTGAGGGTGTTTAATTGGCCAAGGGCCAATCCAAATTAGACAGGGATTGGTGAATGTGGATTGGGAGCAGTTATTTGAGGACAAACCTATGTCTGGCATGTGGGAGGCTTTTAAAGTACAGGACATGCATGTCCCTGCAAAACTGAAGGATAGGAATAGCAGGATTTAGGAACCATGGTTGCCGAGGGAAATTGTAAGCTTGGTCAAAAGGAAAAAGAAAGCATATGATAGGTCTAGGCAGCTAGACTAAGCCCTTGAGGAGTTTAGCGAAACTAGGAAGGAAGTTAAGCATGGAATTAGGAAGGCTGAAAGGGGTCCTGAGATGTCTTTAGCAAACAGGGTCAAGGAGAATCCCATGGCTTAGAAGAAAGAGGGTAGCAAGGGAAAGAGTAGGCCCACTCAGGGACAAAGGAGGGAAGTTATGCGTGGAGCTACAGGAAGTGGGAGAGATCCTTAATGAGTACTTTGTATTGGTATTCTCCGAGGAGAAGGATATTACTGATGTTGAGGTCAGGGATGAGTGTGTGAATACTCTAGAGAATGTCAATATAGTGAAGGAGGCAGTTTTGGGTATCCTAGATTGCATTAAGGTAGCCGAATCCCCAGGGCCAGATGGGATCCATCCAGGTTTCTGAAAGAGGCAAGGGAATAAATAGCTGGGCATTAGCAGATACCTTCACATCCTCTTTGACCACAGGCAAAGTTCCAGAGGACCGGAGATTAACCAATGTCGTTCTCTTGTTTAAGAAAGGAAGCATGGATAATCCAGTGAATTCTAGGCCGGTGGGCTTGATGTCTGTGGTGGGGAAGCTCTTGGAGAAGATACTGAGATATATGTATATTTGGAAGAAAATGGACCAGTTAGTGACAGGCAGCATGGTTTTGTACAGGGAAGCTCGTGTCTCAGCAACGTGATTGAATTTTTTTAAAGAAGTGACAAAGGTAGTTGATGAGGGAAGGGCTGTGGATGTAGTTTATATGGACTTTAGTAAAGCATGGCAGATTGGTGCAGAAACTAAAATCATATGGGTTTCGGGGTGGACTGGCTAGATGGATACAAAGCTGGATTGGTCATAGAAGATAGGTGGTAGCGGTAGAAGGGTTTTTTCAGTATGGAGACCAGTAGCTAGTGGTATTCTACAGGGATCAGTCTTAGGTCCTCTATTGTTTGTCGTATATATAAATGATCTAGGGGAAAATGTGGGTGGTCTGATTAGAAGTTTGTAGACAACACGAAATTGGTGGAGTTGCTGATAGTACTGATAATTGTGAAAGGATACACAGGATATAGATAAATTGGCGACTTGGGCACAGAAATGACAGATGGAGTTTAATCCAGACAAATGCAAGGTGATGCATTTTGGAGGTTTAAATTTAGGTGTGAATTATACTGTAAATGGCAGAACCGTTAGGAACAATAACATACAGACAGATCTGGGCGTGCAGGTCCACAGTTCCCTAAATGTGGCAACACAAGTGGCCAAAGTGATTAAGAAGGCATATGGCATGCTTGCCTTCATCGGCCAGGTCATGGAGTACAAGAGTTAGCAAACCATGTTGCAGCTATATAAAACCCTTGTCAGGCCGCATTTGGAGTATTGTGTGCAGTTTTGGTCACCACACAACCAGAAGGATGTGGGAGCTTTGGAGAGAGTGCAGAGAAGGTTCACCAGGATGTTGCCCAGTCTTGAGGGCATTGACTATGAGGAAAGGTTAAAAAGGCTAGGATTGTTTTCACTGGAAAGACGGCGGCTGAGAGGTGACCTGATAGAGGCACAGATAGGGTGGATAGTCGGAGGCTTTTTGCCAGGGTTGAAGTTTCAATTACAATGGGGGCACAGCTTCAAGATGAGAAGGGGAAAGTTTAAGGGAGATATGTGAGGGAGGTATTTCATGCAGAGAGTGGTAGGACTCTGGAACGCACTGCCAGAAGTGGTGTAAGCAGGCACATAGCTACAATTAAGGGGCATCTGGATAGTTACATGAATAGAAAGGTAATAGAGGATATGAATGAAATAAGGGCAGAAGGTTTGTTTTTTAGTTTAGTCAGGGCGTGATGATTGGCACAGGCTTCGAGGGCCGAATGGCCTGTTCCTGTGCTGTACTTCTCTTTTGTTCTTTTTTGTCTGACCCTGACTTGCTGAGTCAAAGGAAGCCTATGCATTCAGACTGATCCTGATTGTCTGAGCTGTTGGTATTGTATAGGAACCAGGCTCTCCCATTCTTGCACATTTTAAACAACAGACCAGCGAGCGGCTCACAGCTTGATGCTTCATCGGGCACCTTGTGCCCAGGTAACAATGTAACTGATGCCTGTCAGTGCCCCCACCCATATGGTCATTGACTTGGCACTCACCCTAGAGGTTTCAATCTATTATTTCCCCTTCTGTATCAGCCTGGTGGAACTGTTAATTTGATGCTGAACAATTGCTTAAACAGAGCTTAAACTTCATTTAAAAGGAGACTAGAAGTTGAAGCTTTTCATTTTGTGCTTATCAGGACTAGAATGCAAGACTTTGAAGGGATGGGGGAGGTGTGAAGAGACACTATTTTGTACGGCATGAGAACAGGCTGATGATTACTTGGGCCATCATTGGCATGGAGATACATTGGGAACAGTCAATCCTAATTCTGAGACCAGCATGTTCACTCTGATTGGCCAGAATGTTGCCATGGGAATGTAGCAGAGATTGGCAGTTACCATGACCCCTGTTCTTGTTCCCCAATGAAAAATGTGCAATGTGCAATAAATAAAACAGAGTCCTGCATACTAAAACATGTACCTTGCAGCTAATCTCTGCTGCATTGCTGACTACTCGAAGAATACCTGCCTGTGGCTAGAACAAAGATTGACAGTAATGTGTATCTGCTACATTTCCATGTCAACAACGCTCCAATCAGCACTCTCTTCCTCTCATGCTTTATAAATTGGTGCCCCAATGCAAGATGAAAAACTTGACTTCTTGACTCCTTTTTACCAGGCTGATGCTCTTTCGTTGAGGATTCAATGTTTTGGCTGATGAATTGTGCCATTCAATTCACAAATTACCTAGAAGCTCCCTCTAAGGAATCTAATTAACAGGCCGTAGGCTGACCCCCCCCCCCCCCCCCCCACCAATTGGGGAACATTCAGCTGCTCTGTGGAGGTGGGGGGTTGATCTCTACTTCCCTCACCAGGGGTTAATGTGGCACCGTGGATTTTACTGTTTCATTTTGAAACAAAGCTGGTTCAGGGATTAAAACATCCACCTGTTTCAAAGTGTAGAAACTGTTGCTTGGGCGTTAATGGACCCATTAGAGAACTGGTTAACAAGCAGGTGTGTTTTGGATAGCCTTCCAGCAGGACTGCCATCCAAACCTTCCAAAATCTCAAAATTTAATCAGTCGCTCCTCCAGCTAAACAGCAGTGAACCTGATATATAAAGCAATGCATCACAGCTCAAATCTCTTCAGAGATCTAATATAACAGCAAGGGAAATAGGACGGCTCAGTGGTCAGCACTGCTGCCTCACGGTGCCAGGGACCCGGGTTCGATTCCACTCTCGGTGACTGTCTGGCGTTTGCACATTCTATGTGGGTTTCCTCCAGGTGCTCCAATTATTCCCGCAGTCCAAAGATGTACAGGTTAGGTGCATTGGCCATGCTGAATTGTCCATAAGGATGTGTAGGTTTGGGGGATTGACCCTAGGGAATGCAGGATTACAGAGATAGGGTAGGGGAATGGTCTGGGTGGGATGCTCTTCGGAGGGTTGATGTGGACTCAATGGGCTGAATGGCCTGCTTCCATACTGTAGGGATTCTGTGAATCTATGAAATGTGGTAAGATCACAGAATAATGATGCTCATTAATTGTTTATGCCATCCTTGGGGATGTGATTTCCTGTATTTCTTACTTTTCCTGGGATGTGAATGAGGAGAGATTATAGCTGGATTCAACTAAACAACTTGTTCAGCTGCTTCAAAGGACAGTTGGCAATCAACTGTATTGGTATGGGACTGGAATCAAGTTTAGATGAGACTGGGTAAGAGCAACATTGTGTTTCCCATTTCTGGTTACCCATGAAATGGTGGTCGGTAGATATTTGTAAAACGTCTTGCACAATGCCAGAACACAGCAAAGTTCATCAGCACCAGTGAAGTACTTTGGAAGTGTAGGCATGGTTGTGAGATAGGGAATGTGGCAAGACTTCACAAGTGTGATGTTGGTCAGGCATTAGATCGTGACACTTGAATGCACAGTCTTCAGGCTCGAGGCAAGAGTGTGGTCATTGAGCTGTGCCTGTCACACAGGATGAGAGGACTTTAGTTATCCAATTTTGATTCTCAGTCTGGCACACTTCCTCAAATGGAATTGAAGGCATCAGAAAAGATCAGGAAGTGCAAGTCAAACTGCAGGAGGATGCCAACAGACTGGGCAGAACAGGAATTCAACTTGAAAAGGTATGTGACAGTGCATCTGGGGAAGGCTAACAAGGCAAGGAATTAGACTGAGAATGATGGGACCTTGGAAAGTACTAGCTTAGAGGGACCTTGATGTGCATATCCACAGATCCCTGAAGGGAGCAGGGCAGGTAGATAAGGTTGTTAAGAAGGTATATGGAATACTTACCTTTATTACTCAAGGCGGAGAGTACAAGAGTAGGGAAATTATGCTGAAACTGTTTAAAATGCTGGAGTATGAGTGCAGTTCTGGTCACCACATTATAGGAAGGATGTAATCTGATCTGAGTTTTGGGGAGAAATTTAGATGGGCTGGGGTTGTTTCACCTGGCTGCCAAGATTGATATGGGGACCTGGCAGAGGTATGTAAGATTATGAGGGACATAGGTTTGATAAGAAGGCAGTTTTTGCATTAAAAGGGGAGCCAGCAACCACGGGACACAGACTTAAGGTAAGAGGTAAAAGGTTAAATGGACAGTTGAGGACAAACATTTTCACTTGGAAGGTGGTGGGAGTTGGGTCTCATTGCCTGAAATGATGGTTGAGTCACAAACTTTAGTAAAATTTAAACAGTATTCAGATATTCATTTGCATTGCAATAGCCTCCAAGGCTACGCTCCAAGAGCTGTGAAGTGGAATTATGGCAGTCAGATCATTGTTAATTGGGGTGGTCATAATGGCCGTCCTTCTATACTGTAAATGTCTAAGGTTACACAGCTTTGAACCTTTGAGATCAAGTCCATGCAACATTCTGTACGGAAAAGCTGTTTTCTGGCTTTCAGCTAATTTTAGTGGTCGCAATTGAACCTAACACAGGTAGAAATTCTTATGATATAAATGGAGCTGAGCTGCATGAGAGGCATTACTGATAGTCTGTGATAGATGGTCATTGTTGGAGATGGTCAGCAAGTGCCTGTAAGTTATAGAATGCCTTGATGAATCTTTGGCCCAATGACTGAACCATTTGACCCCTTCAAACAGCACGCAGGCAGCGATGGAGAGCTTCTGGGCAATAAGGATTCGTTGAATTCATTGACGGGTGTCAGTACTGTTGGATCTAGTAAGACTGAGCCTGAGGGCGAGAGGGATGACATTGAGGACAACCTGGCTCATAGCAAAGATTCCTTGGAACTCCAGAATGCAAGTGATTCTGAGGAAATGGCGAGAGGTACAGAGTTTGTTCAAGAAGGTGTCGAGCCAGAAGAGGAATTAATGATAGAGGGCGACCAGGTAGCCGACTTTGCCAGTTCACTGCTGGCTGCCATCTCCTGTTGGCACTATAGAGCCAGGGCTTTGCTTTCTGCTAAGTTCTCCATGGTGAGCGCCTCTATTTCTGTCTCTCTTTTCTCTGTCCACCTTCCGCATGGAATGAGCATTGGCCGCCTGCTCTGCTGGTTTGAACCAGCTTGAAGTGGCTGCACCACTAACTTTTTTTTTTTAACACCTGCCTGTTGTATCTGATGCTGCTATCCCAGCATGCTCTGGGGCTCTGATTGCTTTGATGAGGAATACGTCGGATCGTTGAGCAGAATTGCATGCCGCTGCCTAGGTACCTTGATCAATATTCCACACTAACATCAAGTCAAGACACCATTAACCAATGAACTGCTGATTCGGTTGACTTGGACATGTGATGTTGCTTATTTGGGGTTGCTGGTTTATTTTGAGAATGGGATTCAATCCAATCAGTCATGTTCACCAGAAAAGGCAAGTCCTGTCACATTTTGGGATTCAACTCAATGTTTGGTAAGGGGCTGAGGAGTTATAAAACAATTATTTTACACATAACTCAGAACCAACCTAGACTCTTCCCTCTGCTGGTACAGGTGAAATCCCCATTTGGCCAACTTTCGGCTGTGATTTGGCATTTAATGTGAGTCAGAGTCTTAAGTCGGAGACGCCACAGGAATGGGTCGAGTGGAGAATCAAAATTATCACCCTGTGTAATAAATAACCCTTTTGAAGGGTTAAGGCACATTGTTGGCCCCGATTTGCTTTCAATATAAGTCGTGTTGTACCTGACTTAGACAGTGCCTGATGGGACAGTCTAAAAGGAGTTCTATCTGGCATTTAACATCTGTTGTAGAAGGAAGTCTACCTTATATCGAGCCTGCCACTGCCACTGGCCTGGAAGCTTTTGTTAGAACAGTATTAGAGGGAGCTTTGTCCAACATGAGATACATTAGACCTGGGTGTGCTTGATGTTTACACTGGATATCATAAAATAAAGGAGCATTAGTAGCCATTTAGCCCATTCAATGAGGTCATCGCTGATCTCGTAAACCTCCAATTCCACTTTCCTGTTTTGCCTAATAAAAAAAACTGCCTATCTCAGCCCTGAACGTACTTAATGACCCAGCCTCTATTGCCCTCTGTGGTAAAGAATTCTACAGATTCGCTCCTGTCTGAGAAGAGAAAGTCCTCCCCCATCTCTGTCTTAAATAGGCGAACCAAAATATAACCTTCCATCCCACACAACAGCATTCTTCAGATTCATAACTCCAGCATCTCATCATACATTGTTATGCTGGTTAGAAAATGAGTCTTTTTTTAGATAAGACCGAGAGAAATTGCTTCATGTTGAAAGTTTCCGATTTCAAGTTATAACTTTCTGGAACGGTGCTCCAGTTATCTGATGGACTGATACAAATGTTGAATAATGAAGCTCAAAAGTTTTTTTTGTGCTTCTCTCTGTGAGGGATGTTAGTGATGAAGAATGGAACATTTTTTTGACTCTGGAAACCACATGTTGGTGTCAAGCACTAAAGGTCAGGTATAGTCTAGTTGGATTAAAAGTAACAGGTCCCTCCTCATGTCTCAACAGTTTAAATGACACCGCCTCCAAACCCCACCCAAAAAAACATCCAAGATATCATTTCCAACTCACTAGGCTGATGTATTACTGCAGTATAAAATTCCTAATTTACTGCCAAATTTGTGGGTAGGAAGACGAGAGTAGAGTTACACCAATATCCGCACGAAATAGGTTGGTGACTGCAAGTTTGGTGTAGGATAGAGGTGGCTTTTCCATCAGTCTGGGCTGGAGATGAAACTGTGTTCCAGAGGTTAAAAGCAGACTGTACTGCTTGCTCCCTCTGCAAGAAAACCTATTTGGTAATACATAAAAGTCACATTACAGAAACAGCCCATCATCCTAACCATGTTTACCTACCCTGTTCCCACGTCCTTTCATCCATATTTGTCTAATCAAATCTTAAACATTGACATAGTTTCTGACTCAATCACAAACACTGACAGAGAATTCCAGTCATGACTCTCTGCTGTAACAAAATTTCTCTTTCCCTTTCTCTTAACCTTGTAACTGTTGGGTTTTTTTTATTCTTTACTACTGAAACTGGTCTATTTCTGTCCAGCTGTTCCATTCTTTCATATTTTTAATTCTTTGATCATATCTTTGGTAATTTGTTCATGCCAAAAGCCCTTCATGTCTGTCTTCACTGTTCTATTTCCCCATACCAGGCAGTGTTCTAGTTAATCTGCACTGTACCCGCTCTCTGACGATTCAGTATCTTTCCTACAATGTGGAGCCTAATATTACACATTGTACTCTAAGATCTTACTATATACTTTATGTTGGCTTTTAAATTCTATACTTTTTGCGATATAAAACACAAAATTTCATCAGCTTTTTCTGTAGATTTATGAACTTTATCAAAGGCATTAGTAAGCCAGATGGGTTTTACAACAATCCTGTAGTGTCATGATCATTATGAATGAGATAGTAATTTGTTCCACATTTATTAATTTATTTGATGCAGATTTCCCAGCCACAGTATTGGGATTAGAACTCAAGTCTCCACAGCACTAGTTCCAATCTCTGGATTCCTAATCTAGTAACATTGACACCAATGAAGTATAGGAACTGGAGTAATACAGACTGTTCTTCTCAAATGACCAGCACTCTAATGATTTCCCACTTAGAATTTGCTTATTTTCTGACTTTGCAATATATACATAAGTGCATTCCACTCTGTGCAAATGATCCAGAGATCAATTTCTTCTTCCACCTCACTTCAACTTGTTGATTCTTTGCATTTCTTGGTGTTCTAATATTCTTTCTGGCCTTTTCCTATTTTGTTAAATCCTAAACATTGTCATAGCAGGTTTAGCTAATAGGTTTCATTAGTTTGCCTTATTTCAAATTTTACTTACAAGGGCTGTTGGCTAGTTTATTTTGCATCCTCTCTTTCCCAATATGAAACTTCTACTCTCGCCAATTATAGAATCACAGATTTGTTGCAGTCCAAAAGGAGGCCAATCAGCCCATCGAATTTCCAAATGAATGTCTCACCTCCTGCCATTCTCCCGTCATCTCTCTGTAACCCTTCACATTCTTCCTTTTCAGTAACAGTCTAATTTCCTCTTGGATACTTCCAGTGAACCCACCATCTCCGCACTGTCAGGCAGTGCATTTCAGATTTAAACCACTCGCTATGTGAAGAACTTTTCCTCCTATCACTTTTTTGCTTCTTTTACCAGTCACTTTAAATCAATGCTCTCTTGTTCTTGATCATTTCCTCTGTCAAGACCCCTCATGGTTTTGAATATCTCTATTAGATCTCTTTCAGTCTTCCCTTCTCCAAAGAAAACAGTCCTAATTTCTATCTTACAAACTGAAATTCCAATTGCTGACATCAATCTCATAAATCTTTCCTGCACATTCTCTCGAATGCCTTCATATCATTCTGAAAGGCAGCTCCCAAAATTGAATGCAGTGCTCCAGCTGAGGCTAAGCTAGTGTCCTGTACAAGTCAACATAACCTCATCTCTTCTACTCTATGCCCATATTAATAAAGCCTAGGATACTGTATGCTTTCTTAGCCATGCTCTCAACTTCTCCTTCTGCCTTCAATGACTTATGCACATGTGCTCCTCTGCTCCTACACTAGCCCCTTAGATTGCACCCTTCATTTTGTCTGTCCATTTTCTCCCTGCCAAAATAAATTCCAAATTCTGTGTTTATCCTACACCTCTACTCACTCTGCTCTCTCCCTCATAAACGGATGCGCAAATTTGATGGCCAGTAAAAGACACTATAAGGGTAAAAAATATGCTTGGTCCATGGCTGCTTTTCAGACAATTGAAACCAGTTCAGTAGATCATGTAATCCAAGTGTTATCTATAAAGACGCTTGCCTTCTAAATGATGTCATCCCTACGCCAGTCAAGTTACTTGTAATCTTGCTGGAATCTCATTTAAACAGCATGTGCATGTTTCACAGTTCTAACCCAAAGCTGTTAATCTGTAACCTGCTTTTAATAGGACAACCTAATTGTTGGATTTAGCTCAGCAACATTAGTCAGGGGACATAACTAATATTTATAGGAGGGGACTCAGGCTAAGACCCACCAGTGATGCTGCTCACCCCATCTTTGGGATTCTGCGAGGGGCTGAAGGAGGGTGGAGGGGAGAGAAGGGGCAAGGCATTTTTAACTGCCTTGTTTTATTACTCACCGCCTCCTGTTTGTCTCACGTGGCGTCTTTCTCCACTAGACTGAAGATCCTGTTGAGCTACAGGAAGTCAAAGGATGCAAACGGCAAAACAGCCAGCCCTCTGGAAATGCAGAGAAGCGCAGAGGCTGGGACAGCGATTCCAACGTCTCTGAAGAGGTACGTACAATAAAGTCAAGCAAAAATCACTAAAAAGCAAGAACTTGTGATAGTTGTGCATCAGTGAGACATTCAAGTTGTAGGTATTAACTGGGAACTAACCATTGCTGTTACAGATTTAAGTGGATTGAAAGGAAGGTTGTTGATTTGATTTTATTTGATTTGATTTGATTTATTATTGTCACATGTACCTAGGTACCGTGAAAGGTTTTGTTTTGCAAGCTGTACAGGCAGATCATACCATACAAAGGGCATTAGGGTAATAGAACAGAGCGAGAAATGCATGTTACAGCTGCAGCGAAGGTGCACAAAGAGCGAGATCAACGTTAAATTTAAAATTTGAAAGGTCCATTCAGAAGTCAGTAACAGTGGAGAAGAAGCTGTTCTTGAAATTGTTGGTACATATGTTTAAGCTTTTGTATCTTTTGCACACTGGAAGAGTCTGGAGGAGATTATAACTGGGACGGGATGGATTTTTGATGATGTTGGCTGCCTTCCCAAGGTAGCGAGAAGTATAGATGGAGTCAGTGGATGGAAGGTTGGCTTGCGTAATGAAGTAGGCTGTATTCACAACTTGGAAGGGGTTACACTGTTTCCAAGGTGTCTCGCTCTATAAGTAAAAGCTTAGAGGTGTATAAAGAAAAGGATTCAGCCATCTGTCCCTCTCTACCTAGCTCTCTAGTTTCTAATTACAAGCATTATAAATCCTTTCTCACAACCCCAGCATGCTGATCTCCGAGAGACAAGTGTTTCTTCCTAGAGTGACCAGCTGGGCAGGGCACTGCACAGCTTTTGCTGCCTTTGGGTATACTGCATGAGGTGATGCCCTCTGGTGAGGAAGGGGACATAATTTTGACAAGGAGAACTGAGCACCTTGTCAAAACAAGCCTCTCTCCTATCCTTTTAGATTGCACCTTTTTAACGATTTCAGGATTTCGTAGCCAATGGAACACCTGTATTGTAGGGAATGTGGCAGCCAATTTTGTGCACAGCAAGGCTCCACAGTAACAGCATGTTGACGATCATCTGTTTTAGCTGTGTTAGGGATGAATACCAGCAGGATACTCTTCCTTCAAATGGTACCAAGGGATATTTTATGTGTACCTGAAAGGGCTGAGAGTTTAACATTCTGCCCAAAAGACAATGCTGCATTCCTTCAGTACTGCACTGAAAGAATCAGCCTGGATTTCTGTTGTAGTGACATTTATGCCACACACAGAAGCCATTCGGCCTGCAGTCCCAATCTTCATCCCCTTCAATCTGCAAGTTTATTTCCTTCAAGTGTGGATCCCAGTTTGTTTAGAAAGGGTTGTTTCTGCTTCACCACCTTCTTTGGTAACAAGTTCCAGATCATCACCTCTCACTAGGAACAAAGTTCCTCCTCACTTTCTCTTGCTCAAAACCTTAAATCTGTGTCGTTCAGTGCTCATACAATTAGCTGTAATTTTTTTGTGTCCATATTGTAAAAACGCTTCATAATTTTCTATTCTTCTATCAAATTGCACTTGATTTACTTTGGTCCCATGAGAACAATCCTAATTTTTCCAACCTAATCTTATAATTAAAATCCCCTTCACTGGGACTATCTCCACTGTACCCCGTCAAGAACCCACTAATCCTTTGTAAAGTGTGGTGTGGTGACAAGAACTAGATACAATACCCTAGATGGCCAAAATGTTATATAGTTTTAGCAGACCTCTCTGTTCTGTCCTCAATGCCTTTATTGGTGAAACTCATCATTCCATTGACTTTGCTAACCACTCTCGCAATGTGTCCCGCCACTTTCAAACAGTCACACGCGCACACACATATTCCAGAGTCTTTCTTTTAGCAACTCTTTAGAAACTGTGCCATTAATTTAATGTTGCTCCTCACCGTCCCTTTTGCCAAAATGCATCACCCCACATTTCTTGGCATTAAATTCTGTCTGACCCATGCCTGCTTATTCTTCTAGTCTCTCTATGGCATGTTGCAGGCAATTCATATTGTCCTCATTGTTTGCCATTCCTGCAAGTTTGTTATCATCGGCACACTTTGAAATTCTACTTTGTCTTCTAAGTTCCAAATTGTTTATAGATAGCAAAACAACAATCAGAAATCATTGCACTAATCCTTGGGGAACACCTTTGCCTCCCATCCGCCAGCCTGAAAAATAACAATTTTCTGTGCCTTGCTGCTTTTTGTCCTTTAACCAACTTAGCCAGTTGGATCCTGACCATCCTATTCCACAAGTCTTGACTTTAGTTATGTGGTATTTGTCAAAGGCTTTCCTAAAATCTATGTAGACAACATCCACTGCATTCTCATCACCCAACTCCTCTGTTACTTCATCAAAAAAATTAATCCATTTAGTAAAACAGTCTGCTTTTTACAAATCATCCTTAATTAACTCAAACATCTCCAAGTGTATGCTGATTTTTCTCTTGATTATTGTTTCTAAAACTTTACCCATTATTGCCATTAAATTAACCAGCCTGTAGTTTCTCAGACTGTCCTTACCAGTGACTTATCTACTCTAAACACAACGAAGCCATCCAGTACTAACTCTCTCACAATCTTTACCCTGTTCAATGCATTTACAATCTCCACTTTTACTGATATTTTGTTAGATTCCCCTTCCTTATTAAATAGAAATACTAAGAATTATCACCACCTTTGTCCGGATAAGACCCATTCCATTTTATTCAATCAGTCCTGTTCCCCATGCACGTCCCCTATAGTCCTGGAATTATTCCGCTTCAATTTTGTTTACCAATTCCCCTTTGAAACTGTTTCTACCATTTTCAGACAGGCTAACCTAGACCATGAAAACTTGCTGTGGTGGAAAAATTCTCATTTCACCTTTTGGTGCTTTTGCGAATTATCCTAAATCTGTTTCCTCTGGTTACGAATCGGTATTGCCTCTAAATTTCCCTCCTACTGAGTGGGGTACAAACTCCTTTGTAGTTTGCTGCCCATGAGCAGCTTACACTAAAATTCACCAAGCTGTGAGAGGCCTGATTATTTCAGCATGTAGTACATTCCAGGTTTCTGTGTAGTTACCCACACTTAGAGAAAAAAAAATTGGTCTTTTCCCACTGGTCACATTTCACTGCCACCTTTGACTGGTTCCAATAAATCTCTGCTGAACAGTTGATATTACACTTCTATTGGTCCTATTCGCACTTTCTCCACACGTTCCAATCTATCACTTCTCACATTTCTATTCTGTCTCTCCGTTTGACTTCCAAACTCTCATATCCTATTCTATTCCTCCGCTTACTACTTCCATTCTAGCTCTCCTCACGTTTGTCCCATCCATTTTTCTTCCCACACCCGACATCTGGACTGTACACTCTCTCCTTTCCTGATCACTTACAGGAGATTAGGTGAAGTCCAAAAGCAGCATAGAGGAGACAGACAGCTTTAGAGTCAGGGTCTGGGTCAGAAACAGCCTTAAGCACTCATTCATTTCACTCAACAGTGAAATGAAACTCCTTCACTCTGATCACTCACCCACCATTCATTAATTTGGACAACTGTCAATTAGTATGTGATTTTCAGGCTGGTGAGTATTGGCCGTGTCCCACGCATGTGGCCAATAACCCTGACTGCATTGTAACCCAGCCCACCAGTAGACATTAGGTGCTTGTTGAGGCTAATTCCATCTTCAACTTTACTCCAGATGGTATGTGCATGTGTTTATTTGTCTACGATAGCCTGTGCCCACTGAATTTTGTGACCTTCAGTCACGGTGTGTTCTTCCACAAGTCCCAAGATCAATATGAATGATGACCTAGTGTGTACAAAGGGAGTGTGTGGGAGTAGGAGGATTAGTGCTAGTTTTATAGCCTCATCTTCAAGCCATAGAACTCTGAGTACTGTACAGTGAAGAAGGGTTCGGTGAATCTATTTATAACTGGTGGCATCACTCTGTCTCTTCAGAGGGACAGTTCTCCTGTTATTAGTATGTAGTATTGACGACCTATTCACCTTCTCCATACTCTTTTTAATTTCTCAGGTTGCTTCCGTTTTGGAACCAATATCTCTTCAACAGATGGTGACTGAAGCGTGCCATTCTGCCCTACAGGAAATCCAGTCTGACTCTGAGACGGCGTGCAGCACAGACGAACCCAAGGGGGCAGATGGATCCACTGAGGATACTGAGGCGGAAGGCAGCGACTCAGGGAGGGGTGTCATGGAGCCTACCATGGAATACTCATTCAACGAGCCGGGCGAGGAACCGAAACACCTCAGCAGCGAAGACTCGACGGACGAGGACGAGCAAGATCGCGAGTCGCGCAGCATTCTCCCGCCATCAGTGCTGGGCCAGGCCAGTCTCATCGCTGGCCGCTTCATCAACAGCCGATCACGTCGCAACAGCCTAGCAGCGGATGACAGCCGGTCCTGCGGCTGCTCGACGCCGAAGACAACGAGCAGACAGAGCAGCCTCGAGCGCGGGGACAAATCGCCATGGAACGGCGGCGCCTCTGGGACAAGCGATGACTCCCAAGCGAGCATTCGCCAAGCCAACGTCAGCCAGGAAAAGCACCTCGACGAACCTAGACTCAGCAGCCCGGAGGACGCGCCCCTGGAGACAGATCGGAACGTTCCGAGGAGAAGGGACTCCACCTTGTCCCGCCAGGATCGCCTGCTCATTGAGAAGATTAAGAGCTATTACGACAACGCAGAGCACAAGGACGCCAACTTCAGCATTCGAAGGCGAGAAAGCCTGTCCTACATCCCCGCAGGCTTGGTCAGGAGCTCCATCTCGAAGCTGAACAGCCAAAACAGGGAAGAGGATTTGCGAGAGGCCACGCTGAGGAGACGGTTGGCCGCTTCCAGCACGGCCGCTGGTGGGCCACTGCCTCATGCTTTGTCGGACCTTCCGGATCCCAATACCCAACCAGGCTCCCACTCCCCTTCTCCAGAATCAGGAGCCCCGCCACCAGCACGTGACGGTCCTGCAGAAGACAGTCTGCCTTTGGACTTCTCAAGGGGGGCCGACCCCGTTTCCCAGGACCCCATTACTGACGCTGAATTCCAACCATCTGCCAACATGGTCAAAGTCTGGCAAGAGATGGAGAGAGTGGCGGACGCTGCAGCAGAGCCTCCCAAAAGGACGGAGCAGAGACTCGAGTCAATGCGAAGGCCCGAGGTCTTTGAACCTATCCCTGAGATGCTGAAGAAAAGAGAAGCCGCAAACACTGAACGATGCCAAATAAAACAGCTCAGCAACGGCAGGATTATTTTTGGCCTCGATTTCAACGAGCCATTGGTTATTGTGGAAGACAGCGACCTAAGTGCCATAAAGGAAGAGTCACCGCTTTCTTCTCCAGTGAGGTTCACTCATGAGTGTGGACTGCAAAGAAGACCAAGTGAGAAATCGCAACGTGGTGACAGGGAGCACGCTGATGAAGTGCTGCCTATCCAAACGTCTGACCCATTGGCTCAAGCACCGTTGTGCGTCCAACCAGCCAAGTGCTCAGGGCCAGAAAACAAAACCTCACCACCACAACCACCCGACACCCGCTCCAGTCTCACCGTTAAGAAGCAGGACCAACCAGCGCGAGGCACCAGAGCCCCTGTAGCCCAGGCAGGATCGAGGGCCCAGAGTGAAGAGTTACTAAGAGAGGTGACAGAGAAGATGAAGACCAGGGTCTACCAACTGGCCAGGATATACAGTCAGCGGATTAAGAACAACAAGCCAGTGGTGCAAAAGAGAAGCCAACACATAGAGGAGGAGCCGATGAGCAGCGAAAAAGAAGTGGGTAGTGAACTGGCCAAGGTGCCTCATCTCCAGAAGGACAAAAAGGATATGGTTGTTGGCGGTGGGTGCATTTTTATTATTTTCATGTCTACTGTCTGTGGACACTTTGTGCCTGTTCGTTTTACTAACACTAACAGTTGCAATAGGACCTCTGTAGTAAACAATAATAACATTTGCAATAGGGTTTGCAAACAACAATTTTTACAATGCCTTTAACGTTATAAAACATCCCAAAACACTGATCCACACAATGACCTAGTAGACCGAGGGACCAAAACCTTGGTTAAAGAGAGATATTTTCTGGTTGAATGTTTAGGGATGGTATTCCAGAGATTAGGCCCAGGCAGTTGAAGACAGCTGCCAATTTTTGAGTGATGTAGATTGGAGGAGGCCTAGGGTGTCTCAGAGGGTTGGATGACTGGAATTGTTTAGAGGTGGGGTGATTTTTTTTTTTTTATTATTCAATGATAGGATGTGGGCTTGGTTGGCTAGGCCAGCATTATTATCCATCGCTAATTGCCTGGAGCGCAGTTAAGAGTCAACTACATTGCTGCAGGTCTGGGCCTCGTGTAGGCCAGATCAGGTAAGGACATTAGTGAATCAGATGGGTTTTTTCCTGGCAATTGACAATGGATTAATTCCTAATTCCAGATTTTCTTTTGTTTATGAATTCAGATTTCACCATCTGCTATGGTGGGATTCAAACCCATGTCCCCCGAACAGTACCTGGGTCTCTGGGATTAATAGTCTAGTGATAATCCGACTAAGCCAACACCTCTCTGTGAGGTTTGAGAACCCGAAGGGATTTGAAGACCGGGATGAGAATTTTAAAATTAAGGCACCGCTGAGCCAGATGCTAATATGGGCCAGCGAGCACCGGGTGAACAAGATTTGGGCAGTAGAATTTTGGCCGAATCAATTTACATCCATCCGTGGAATGACCATCAGTTCTAGAGCTATGCCTTCATCTACCCTCTGGACCTCCCTCCCTAAGCTACTCCATCTCCGATAAGGCACTCCTTAAAACCCATCCCTTTGCCGAAGGTTCTGCTCACCTCCTTGAATGGCTCGGTGTCAACACTTCATTTGACGAAGAGCCTTGAGACATTCCATTACTTTATAGGTGATCTATATGGGCACGCCGAAGGGTTGCCAATGGGTTCCGCTGTGCAGTCCAGTCATAAGGAGTTTTGCGCACAAGTCAGAACACATTGCAGGACAATATAAAACAGCCGTTTGTAACTAGAGGGTACGTTTGTATGTCAGACCTGCAACACACATTCCCCACCCACACATCCCTCCCCCCATGGCATCATGTTCTCATAATTATGAGTGTTTGTAGGTTGAATTCTGCACACCCTGTGATCACAAATTATTATTATTGGTCCTTCAGTAGATATTTGGTCCCACTATAGCTGATTAGAGTAACTCATGATCAAGGAGAGGGAAAAGTGGTGCCATTCCATGAAATAATTGGAAGGAGAGCCCTGAGCTCGATAAGCGAGGTGCAATGGTCTGGCATTGACTTTGAGAATTGATGTATTGAGAGTATTGTTGCATTATTTAAATAAAGGTACATGCTTTATGTCCTAAATTTACCTTCACAAAGGTCACGATGTTGATGTCAGTCACATTAGGTGTTGCAGCCTATACCAATTGTGTGACCATGCAGTTTAATTCCACACAATTCAAGGACATGTCAAATCTCACCAATCTGCGAATGGTCAGTCATTTGCGGTAGAATAATTGTGTCCGCGTTTTCAAATATACAAAAATGTCAGAAGGTGTAAGAGCCAGCTAGCTAATCGATCCTACCTTGACAAACATTGCTGAACATGTCAGTGGCGGAGTAGTGGTTCAGTGGTTAGTGCCTCGCAGTCCCAGAGACCCGGGTTCGATTCCACCCTCAGGTGACTGTGTGGAGTTTGCACGTTCTCCTTGTGTCTGCATGTCACATCTGGGTTTCCTCTCATGGTCCAAAGATGTGTAGCTTAGATGGATTGGGCATGCTAAGTTGTCCATAGTGTCCAGAGATGTGCAGGCTAGCTGGATTAGCCATGGGAAATACAGGGTTACAGGGATAGGGTAGGTGAGTGGGTCTGGGTGCGATGCTTTTCGAAAGGTAAGTGTGACTCAACAAGCCGAATGGCCTGTTTCCACACTGTAGGGATTCTCCGTCCTCCTTTCCTGATCTCCCCTAGACATTTTCAAGTGTCTGTGTTCCTCTTATTAAACCGCTCTTCAAGTAGAAAGAGCTTCCACTTATGTAATCTATGAAAACCCTTCGTAAATTTGAAATAGCTCTGCTACATTTCCCCTCAACTCCCACTGGTCCAATCCCAGCATTTTGAGTATTTCCACCTAATTGAAATCCCACTTCGTAGATACCATTCCAGCAAATCCCCACTACGGTTTCTCCGAAGGTCATTCAAAACAGGGAGGTTTAGGATTTTGACAATGTCAGTGGTTTATGAGCAGCTATTCTCCCTTCTAATAACTTGTTTCTCTCTCTACCCCCTCCCCCTCCCCCTCCCCCACCCCAGCAGATAAATCAAAGATGGCACTGTCTATGCCGTTCTATGAACATGTCATTATTCAGGAACAAGTGCCATTGACACCATTGATGGAGGAGCCCAACACCCCACCTCTGAGCAAGGAGTTGCAATCGATCCTTCCATCTTCCAGCAGGATTCCATCTCCTCGACGTTCCGTCATCAGCCCGAATTTAACATCTCCGGCCAGGTCCCATTCCAGGAGTCCCCTGAGCCCGACTGAGATGGAAACCTTCCTGTGGCCCGATGTTCGGGAACTCTGCTCTAAGTATGCCGCTGTGGACGCTCGGTTTGCGAGAAACTCTGCGCAGAGGCCAGTGCGAATGACTGAAAGTGGCTGCCCCAAACTGACCCGAGTTGCCAAGAGTATGTCCATGCCCAACGGAATGATGGAAGGCAGACTGTCCCACGCCAGTTCTTTGGAACAAGAGGACAATTCCAAAGCGGGTTACTGCCCGTCCAGTGCAAAGTCTCAGCCGTTGAAGGCAGCTTCCAGTACGGGGGCCAGGAAACAGCTACATTCCGACTCGTCCATCCAGTACCTTGTACAGGCGACCCCTGAAAGTCCCCTCAGGAATCACACAAACTGCTCGAGGACTGCCTTATCGGACTGCAGGTGCACTGAGCAAAGTTCCAGTTCAAACTGCAAGCACTGTCACTTTATGAAAGGCACGGAAGGCACTCATTACGTTTCCTCGGAGTTCACTGTGCAAGATCAGCAGGTCATCATCATGGAGAAATTGCCATGCGATGGGGATGATCTGAGCAGTCATAGGAACGAGCAGACCACGAAAGAGAGCAGCAGTGGCGGGGAGGGCTACGTCCAGATCAGGTCTCCAACGTCGCGCGAGAACATCTCCATCCAGGCGGTCGTGGAAAGGTGCAGGGCCTACCAGGAGTCAGAGGAGTATAAGATAAGGCAAGAGACCGAAGCCAAGAGCTGGAGGCCAGGAAATGCCAAGATGCGAGCTCCTGCGGGAGCTGAGAAAAAAGTCTCCTCGACCAAACGACAGGCAGAACCCAGAAAGGAGATGAGCCAGCTCCACAGGAGGACAGACTTGGGCCAACAAGGCCTGGTGAAGAACCTGAGAGACAAGTTTCAGAGCTTGAGTTCAGCCAGGTAAACACACGCTGGCTTCGTTCTCAGATGCTTCTTGGATATCAAACCACTGTACTTGGTCAAATGGATGTAAAAAAAATTATTCAAGGTGTGGCGTTTTGTTCTTGGACAAGAGGCCCAGAACATTAACCTGACCTTCACTGAAATGTCTAGAAACTGAAACTAGTAACTGGTGTCTCAATGCTTAGCCAGTTTATTTATCAAACCTCAATAAATTTATAATTGAACTGATCTTCATTTTGTGCGCACTGCTGTTAATTTAAGATAAGCTCTCTCTTTAAATTGCCACGCTCCTGTTCCTGGCAATTTTAGTCCACACACACTGACTATCTATTCAAATTTACAACACCTCTGTGAATATGTGACTCTCCATCCATATGCTCATTAACTTCTGTCCTTCCAGAAAGGGGTTTTCCATCTTCCCATTTCTCCTTGTTTGTATGAATTCAATTCCCTCCATGACCTTACCGCTCCCTACTTTAATCTCTCCTGCCCTACATGTCCCTGACATCTCTGCGTTCCATTGCTTCTCGCCTCTTGCACAACTCCAGATTTAATCACTTCACAATTGGAGACTGTGTCTTCAATTCTGAAATTCCTGTCCTGAGCCTTTTTGCCTCTTCCTTCTCCTTTAAGGCACCCATTAAAACCCTACCTCTCTGACCAAGCTTTTGATCTCCTGTCCTAATACCTCTCTCTGTTCAGTGTCAAATTATTTAGGGTCAAAGGTAACCTTACTGAGGAAAAATTGTGAATTGTGGGATGTTTTACGACATTAAAAGTGCTACATGAATGCAAGTTATTGATTTGTAGTTTTCAGTGCCTTGGGACTCATTGATTAGGTTGCATGAGGAACCCCTGGGGTTGATGTACTGTGCAAAATGTTCAACTTCGATGTCTGTGTTGGCTTAGTTAATCATCAGTGAGGCAGCAAGTGTGGATGTTTTAATGGGTTTCAATATGGCCCAAGTTTTGGAGAGTACAAACTAGCCTAGGGTTTCTGCCAGATTGGATAGCAAAGGCAGGTTATATAACCGCTTGTTATGCTGGCCTCGCTGTCAAATAGCCAGACCTCACTATATTGCTGCATCTCAATTCAGTCCATCTTTTTCCCATGTTTCTGATATAGCCTTGAAGTTAGAGAGAGAAACTGGGGTGGGTTAATAATTAAGAGATATTGATCCAAGCAACTTAAAGTTGGCAGGGGAAACAAAAGACAGAACTTGCATTTTAATTGGTTCATTGTCACCTAAAGGGGCCTTCCAGTTGACCAATTTTTATTATAATTTTAGTCAGCCATATTGTGAGAAACGAAGCAGGATCCCACATCCGGCAAGGTGATAATGATCAGATAATCGTGAAGCTGATTGATAGGCATTCATCGGGACACCAGGGAGAGCCCACCTGCTTTTCTTTAAATAATGCTGTTAGATCTTCCAGGGCCACAGAGGGAAGACTGAAGGACAACATTTCGACTGAAGGACAACACCTCTGGCAAGGTGCCACTCTCTCAGTATGGCATTGGGAGAGACTGTCTACATTTTGTATTCCAGCCTCTGGAGTGGGATTTGATCCACTGACTAGGAGTAGGAGTGCATCTGATCCACAGCCGATACCTACAAGTTTGGAAACAGCAGGGTTTTTCGGTCAGGTTCTATATCCGATACGATTGTAAGTTGGGGGTGGGAGCATGGGGCTGATAGTCACCTGTTGAGACTGTGAGGTGTGAGCAATGGAGGTTGCCTGGCAACATGTGTAGACTGTGTGATACTACTGACTTCAGCCTCACAGCCAGTACTGTGTGTTGCTCTATATTTGGCATTTATTGTCCTGGAGAACATGTACGAAAGATTCAGACGTTTGGTTGTCACTTCACTCTACCATGCAGTGACCTCTTACGAAGATGGTTGTGTTGATGTTTTGGGTGCTCATTGGTTACACTGTCATAACCATTGTGCTTTTGGCAAAAAACTATTATAGCTCCACAATGGTCATAATATCTATTGACTTTTTTTTGTTTTTACATATCAATTTGTATTTACATATGACTATTTGAATGTGTTGCTTGTAAATAAGCAAAAGTGATTGCAAATTAATTGATCATGATGGTTGAATCTGAAAAGGGTGCAGGTAAATCAATTGACATTTGAAGTCTCTTCGCCCCAAGAGGCCACTTAGGTGCCACAATAATCCTCGAAGTGACCAAAGATTTGGGAAGGGCAGAAATCAGACTGAATTTCTGAGTACCTGTAACAAGATGTTGGAAAAGTGAGAGCATATGGATATGAAAGCACAGTCATTGCTGTGATGCTCCTCCTCTGCCTACCCTGAACCCATCTTCAGATATTCACTGTGTGGTCTCACTGATGAGAAATGGAAACATGAACAAGAGATGGGAGGGCGGTTGATGTATGGCAGAAATTGATGCTTACAAGAGAGGGCAAAGAGAAATGATCTGTCTCGAGACAAACCACCTCCATCAGTGTGGAGGGGAAGAGTATTCATTGTAGCTGCGATGTGCTTTTGTATTCATATCAAAAGTATTATCACATCCAGGGATGTCCAGGATATGGTCGTAAGTTTGAATCTCTTGGACCTGCCCAAAATTGAGAGCTGAGCAATCCAAGATAATGTTTTTAAAACTTGGGTTGTAGACATTGCTTGGGCTGGACCAGCTTTGTTGCCCCTGCCTTAGTTGCCACTGAACTGATTGGCTCTTAAGAGTCAACCGTTTTGCTGGTGGGTCTGGAGTCACATGTTGGCCAAACCAGACAAGGATGGCAAACATCTTTTTTATCCCCCCAAGGGATATTAATGACCCAGATGGGTTTTTAAGCCAATCTGTAATGCTCACATTGACTAGCTATTTCCAGGTATCGCTGAATTCATCTGCTGTGGGTGAGATTTGAACCCACAATATCGTACTGGATTATCATCCAGTGACATTACCACTGTGTCACTGCCTCTCCTAAATTCAATCACTTAGTTTCTGGTGTGAGATGCCTACAGTATGTTTCACACAGTGGACATCGGATTGGATTTTCAAGCCTCTAAGATTGCTCTCAAGCCTCGGGAATTAAATATCAATCTCCAGAATAAAGCTGAGAGTAAATCTGATAGTAAAGGAAAAAATCATATAGGAATTTAAAAATTTGTTGTTTAAAAATAATCTTCAAAAACTTCTGTTTCATGGTTCTAAAAGAAAATTGGACATGAGTATGGGAAGATCATTCAACTGGGTAATAATGACGTGTTCACTTTCCATTAAGGGTAGTAAATGTGGTTGGGAGAGTTGGTGGAGACCAGGAGTAGGCCATTTAGCCTCTTGACCCTGCATTGCAACTCAATACATAGTGGCTAATCATCATCCTCAATGCCACTTCCCTGCTCTATCTCCAAATCCTTAGATATAATTAATCTCCTGAATCTAATAATTTAGCTTCCCTTGGCCAATGGCAGAGAGAATTCCAAAGATTCCACTTTTGAAATGAAGAAATTCCTCATTTCAGTCTAAAAAGACCTACCCCCTTATTCTGAGATTGTGTCCCTGGTTCTAGGTTCACTAGCCAGGGTAACATTTATTCAGTCACACCCTGTTGAAGAATTTTGTAAGTCTCAATGAGATCGCCTCTCATTCTCTGAAACTTGAGCGAATACAGGCCCATTTTCCTCAGTCTCATCTCATAAAACAGTCCTGCCATTCGAGAGATTAGTTTGGTGAACCTCCATTGCTCTTTCACTTTGGCAAGTATATCCTTCCTTGGGTAAGGAGACCAAAACTGGACGCAGTACTCAGTTGAGGTCTCACCCAGGCTGTGTGAAATTCCCCATGAGATGAACGCTGAAATACTGTTTCCCTTCCTAACCACACCTGCCTGTGAGCTGTTAATGACTTATGATGAAGGACACCTGCACTTCTCACCATTTAATAAATAATCTGTGTTCTGTTTCTTTTCTACCAAAGTTGATAAGTTAGGCCATTTCAGCACATCAAATCTATTTCATGTGATGAAATTTCCAGAAATATGGTATTCAGAATCCTTTATGGGTGTCAGACAACTGTGAAACAGTAGCAAGTTAGTATTTCAACCATGTTTTGGAGATGAGATGGATATGGTTTTGAAACAGCAGTAGGATAGCAAAGGGGAATTATTGCTTTATTGCTCATATCTAGCATTTCACACCCTTTACTCTATGGACAATGTGATTTTATTTATTTTGTATGCGTTTTGGGGTAAGTGATGAACATAGTGGTGTACAGGTCAGAGTAATTTGCAGAAACAAGGTATGGTTGCCAACTTCTATTGTTTTTGAACAGAACCTAGGCTTATATACCATAGAGACTTGCTGCGACCGTGAGATGAGTAGATGAATTAATGACAGCATCAGGATTTTGATGGTGACATTGCACAGGCTGATCAGGTTACAACAAAATATCAGTCACTAGGATTAAGTGGAAGTGTAGGCCAAATCTGGAGAATGAAAATCTCCATGTCATACTGGAAGAGTATTTTGATTTGTGCTCAAGCTTCAATGATTGCAACACTCTGTTTACAACCTCACACCTAACACCCTGCACAAGCTAGAACTCATCCAAAACACTACTACCCACATCCTGATTCATACCAAGCTACATTCAGTTTCACTTATAGGCTCACTTAGCTGTATCCTCCCAGTGCAGCAACACCTCAATTTTCAAATTCCTCTGTTGCCTCACCCCTATTACTGTAACAGTCTGTCCTACGGTCAACATATGTACATTCCTCCAATTCTGGTCTTGTTGGTTTCTCTCTTTTTTTTTTTGCTATTACCAGTTAATACCTTCAGCTGGCTAGTTCCTCACCCCTCAAATTCCCACAGCTTAAAAGCCATGTTCATCAGCTGTTTCATGATGTTGGCTAGTGTCAAATCTTGTTTGCTAATCTTTCTCATAAAGGGTATTTTGCTAAATTTAAAGGTGGGCTGTAAACCCAAAATTATTGTTGACTCACCATTCCCCACTTCAATACATCTGCAAGGGTAACATTACCTATTCCATGAGATATCTGGTAGAATCGTCTTCATGCAACCAGTGATGAACAATTAAAAAAGAACAAAACATTGGATCATTTTATAAATAATTAACTGTTGGGATGTGGGAACTTTTATTCATCTGGAAAAACACTAGTAATTCAGATGTTTGTAAGTAAACAGCTTTGTTTTTGTAGCTATACTTTGTTGAATACATGGCATTGTCCACAATTACAACTCGACAATTGCAATGCTTTGTCAGGGGAGTTCACTGATACCTAGTTAACTATGAGCACGATAAATTTGGACTACCACAGCATGCTTCATGATAACAAGCCAATCCAAAGCTCTTTACAGCCTACAAGATCTTTTAAGGATTAGTAAATAATGTGAAGTAGGCACTGAGGCAGCTAATTTGCACACACCAAAGTTCACCAATCACACTTGGTCAGATCTTTTGTATTTTTATTGACATTAGTGGAGGGATAAATATTGGCAGGACAGAGGGGAAAATTCCCTTGGTGTCGGTTGCGGAGAGGTGGTTTATTTTACAAAAAGGCACTCTATAATGTAGCAGCTTTTCAGATTTGCATTACAGTAATAGCCTGGATTGTATGCACCAGTCTCTGGACTGGGGCTCAAACACAACCCTTTGATTTGAGGGGGAAATATTTCCATCAAGCTGCTGCTGGTGGATTTTAGTCACCATGCCTTCAACTGCTCTGGAATTCCAACTCTAAACATCAGTGCCTCTTTCAGATTTGTCCTTAATACCCACTTCTTCAATCAAGTTTTTGGTTTCTTCTCCTCTGACACTGAACTGTACAAGTGAATATCAAAGTATTTCACATCATTCCTACAAAGATGCTATTTAAATGCAAGTTGTTGATGTTACATAATTAAGGATACTACTTCTGCTTTCCAAAGGAATGATCAGTTGTAATTCCTTTGCTCACTATTCACAAAATGTGCTATTAAACAACTATGGGTGGACTGCAGAGTACTTAGGTACAAAGGACCCTGTGGTCAAAGAGCAAATGTGGACTGCTGGGTGAGAAGCACAAGTGGCTGACAGCAAAAGAGCTGTACTGCAACAGTCAGTATGTTTACCTGTATAGGGAAAGCACAATAAGTGGAATGCTTTTGAGAAGTGTTGCCATTCCAGACTACTGCTGACCTGATTTTATAAACAATCCATTACGTTCTTCAGCACACAGAGTGGCTTTAAAGTCAGCCTAATTACCAGCATTTGTCAGTACACCGAATGCACATTTATATTCTTTGTATACAAGTTAACCTACTCTTAATTTACCTTCTGTTTGCTTTTGTATCCCAGATTTAATCAACCTATAATGTCCTGAGAATGACTACTTGAGTGTGCAGTTCTCATTAAACTAAAATGCCAAAAGTACTTTTGTTACAGTCTGGAGAAGAACTGGAGAAATGGTTCCCCTCTTTCTCCACCTTGTGGTTGATTGTAATAAAAGGTTTGAAAGGAATGTTGTCAATTTTTAGTAAATGGGTTTCCTAAGTTTTTTTTTGAAAGGAAAGCAAATATTGTTACCATATGCTTTAAAAAAAACTCCAGCTCTCTCATACACACCAAAACTAAGTTACAAGGACAACAGGAAGATCCAATCACTGGAGTCAAACATGGTTCTGTAGGTTCGTGCAGTGGACAGTTGCAGGTTGTGTTCAGTAAACACTAACGTAATGTATTGGCAGACAATTTCTACATTTACCTCTGAGGTCAGCAGCTTTTTGGTTCATGGTTATAGACTGAGTGGAGACACACAGGAACCATTGATTTGTTACATACTAATAGTGAGATTCTGGAAAAGTCTCTTTTTAGCACAAAGAATAATTTACTATCACACAGGATCCCCAATTACAAACTAACTAGATACTAAGTGGTCACAACAAGTTGAGAACCCACATGCTGGTTCCTTGGTCATTTTCAAGGGGAGGTGGTGTTAATGTAGGGCCACTTTGAGAACTGCTTTTTAAGTTACTTCAAAAAGGATGACAGCAAGAATGAACTTTTTAAAAAAAAATCCTCCATTAATGTCATTTTTGACATGAAACATTGTTTTATAACACTTTCATTTCTTGAAAGAGAATGTTTTAAGGAAACTGGCAAGCTTTCAAATGTCATCCAAATGTTAAAATACAGACACAGCTGGCTATTAATGAACCCATCCAATTCTCGGCTTCATCTCCTGATCACTTACTGGGTAAGAAAATACTTGCATTTCTGCAAAGTCTTAGGGCTCTGCTTACCACTTAATACACAATAATGTAGGAATAATATAGGAAATAAGGTAGTCAACTTTCACTTCTTGTTATCACTGTTTGTGTGATTATGCTCAGGAAATATCTTCTTCCTGAAAAAAAACATTAACACCTGGAAATAATACCCCTGTTCTTCTTTGAATAGTGCTGTAGGGACCTCTTGTGGCAGTTTCCCTGCCCCAGACCAGGAGGCCCAGGTTCAAATCCCCTCCGCTTGAGCTGGGGGTTAGCAGATATCTTGAACAGTGCCATGGAAACTTTTGTGTCCAGTTCAGCAGGCGCATGACCATTGCTTATCATCTCATGAAGGGGGTGGGGGTGGATTAAAAAAAAGCATCTGACAGTGCAGCTATCCTCAATACCATATTGAGGCACCAGTGGGAATAAATCTCTGCAGTGTGAATCATAAAACCTCAACTTTCCAATTGGGTGTCAAGATTGCTACCCACTAAGCCACAATTTAAACCCACAAATTATTAGCAGCAAGAACACCATATAAAATTAACTTTAGTGTAATAAAATGGTTCAGAAAGCCTTCTTTGAAATTTATTTTAGTTTATACATAGCTCTGCAACAATCAACCTATAACCCCATTTGGAAACAATATCAGCTCCAGCTGATCATTAAAAGATAGCAACAAAATTCTCTTATATATTTGGCCAAAAGATACATATCTCTCTTTGATTTCAGAGAACACACTGTGGAACATCTTTATGACAAGCAGGGTAAAGAAGATGAGGATCCTCTCTTGACAGGGCAGTGACACCCCCCGTAATTCATTTCACAAAGGGTTTAGTTTCATTACTGAATGTTAGAGAATATCTCTGCTTCTGCAGGAATGTCCAGGGTTGCATCCAGGGACAGGCTGAATGGGTGCATAGCTGTCAAATTATTCAGTGCACATCACTGATAACCACATTGAAAAACAACTAATTAAAGAGATAGGAGAAATTTACCCTACATGCCCATGATGCACTGATGTAAAACCTGCAAAATCCTAGCAAAGGTTATGTTTGGGCCACGCACAGCAACACTTTGCAATAAATATGCCAAAGCATGAATAAGATGACGTGCTACCATGGACGCAGTTATCAGACACATCTGTGGTCATGATGCATTTCCACTGAGGTCCTGGCAGAAACAAGTTTCTTCTCCTCTCACCCTACTGCCAATTCCTCCACATCTCCATGCAATTGATGTCTATGAAAAAAAATAAGTAACTGAAGTTGATTGCAGTCTAAGGGTCTTATGTTAGGTTTGGGAATAGCAAAGCTGTCTGTCTCCTCCAATAGCTTGTCCCCTGTTGCCGTGACAACAGCTCAGTCACTGTGTGGCCTTGGTCTTCTTACTTTTGCTTTTCTTGTCTTTCTTCTTCAAGCCGTCCATGTGTGCCCGTAGCAGGTTTGAGTATGCCTGAAAACCCAAGAGAATTCAAACAGAAGTCTTTAAAAGGGAGTTGTGCTGGACTATGTCAACATGAAGTAAAAGACAGTTTTAAATCATTCTAGCTAAACAAAATTAAGAGGGGGAGGAAAACGGGCAGTCAAAGTGACTTTGGCTTGACAGCTACTTCCCTAAAAGCCACTGACAGTGCTGGTCTGATTCCCAAGTAAACCTTACATATGGAGTTTCTTAAAGGCGGTTTCCAAGCTACACAAACATTTTATAATAGAACAGAACTGCAGACTGGCATTTATAGAATAATATTTGCCATGTCCCAAATTATTTTACACGTCAGTAGCACTTCCTTGGCTGTGGTCCTGGCGGTAAACTAGGAAATGCTGTGGGCAATTTGTGCATTGAAAGCTCCCAGAAGAAAATGCTATGATGAGCAAATCAGGTGCTTCAGTGATGTCAGTCAAAGCATAAATATCAGCCAGGACATCACGAAGCATTGACTGGACAGGCCTCAGTTTAACACCTTATACAAGAGACGATATACTAACAATTCCACACTCTCTTCAAATACTTTACCAATAGGGTTAGTCTAGATTTTGTTCTGAGGTTTAAAGTGAAGCTTGAACTCACAACCTTCCAGTGCCTACAAAAGTGCCACCCACATAGCCTAGGCACTGCAACTAACACAAATTCAAAGAGTCACGTTATCTCCAATTCATCATTGCACTGGCAATGGGAAATAGGCAGCAAGTCAACCTTGAAACAGCATGCCCCAGCCAGGCAGGTCTACTGTACCTGAAGATGTTGCTGCTTACCTGTTTATCATTTTCAATAACAGGTCTACAGTGCTCCCTGAGATGGCTGTTCCAGCAGTTTATCGGATCTCTCTGGCTACATCTTAAATTTCTACATCTTGAATGAGATTAATGTAAATCACAGAAACCCTCAGACTCCAAGTTCAAATTTTAACCTCAACAGGAGCTGGACATTTATTTTAAGGTAAAGCATTATGTTTTATTTTGCTTCAATCTTGACCTTTCCAATACACTCCTGGCAAGCCTCCATTTTTATCCCTGCTGCTTGTATCCGATCTGGAATCACATCCTGTTAACCCATCATCCTCGCATTCACCGACCACCTCAAACTTTGGTCAAGCATCATTTGAAAAATTCTTACTTTTGCTCTTAAATCTTTCCAATTTCCCTCCCCCACTATCAATCCTACCTTTGTCACCACCTTCTCCAGCTCACAAGTGTCCAAAATTGAACACACCAAGTTTGGGCAAGGTCAGAAATCAGACAAGACCAGGTTATAGCCCAACAGGTTTATTTGAAATCAGAAGCTTTCAGAGTATAGCCCCTTTGTCAGGTGAAGTGAGAGAGAAGCACAGAGACACAGAATTTATAGGCAGAGCGATCAAAAGATCATACAAATGGTGTGAGTGGAGTGTCAAATAATAAGTCTCTGCAGGTAATCAAAAGTGTCAGATGGTGTGAGTAAAGTGTCAACAGCTGAATAACAAGCAAAGGGATAATCTACAATACAACTAAATGAGGCAGAAAGAGAATTACAAAAAATTATAAACAATGTGGTGCTGGAGACAAACCAAATGACTGGAATAACATGATAGGTATAAGAGTCACATGCCGAGGGTCTAAGAAAAGTAGTGAGTAATCCAATAAGTAATAAGCACCTCCACATCACACCAAGTTTGGGGTCTTGTCCAACTGCACACCCTAGAGCCCACGACTGACGGTCATGCCTTTAGCTACCAAGGAACTTAGCTCTCCTTTGAAGATGATCCACATAACCCACCCGTGACCAGATTTTTTTTTGTCACCTGTTTTAACATTTCTATTTTTGGCCCTTGCTTTGAAACTTTCTGCTATGTTAACAGGTGCAATAAAATGCAAGTCATTGCCAACTTACATCAGCATTAAACATCTCATCTCATATTTGGACTGGAAGGGTGCTCCTAAATTATTCCGAGTATAAAACAAACAGGCAAAAGGTTTGGGGTTTCTTTGGTCCGTTTTACTTTTCTAATCAGTTCTGCAGTTGTGTCCATCTCCAAGAAGGCATGGTGACATCTAGTGGTGCGCAACTGTATTGCATATTGTTCACCTTGCCAAGAAAAAAAATGTGAAAAACGTGATGGGAAAATAAACACCCAGTGTACCTATGTGCAATCTCACCCTGATCAGACGCCCATGATTATCAACTGATCAGGAGCAGGCACCCCGGCTTATTCGTCCCCTACTTGCCGCTAGAGATCCTAACCTTAGGTGGGATCAGCTAATTCAACGGGGGTAGAGGTTCAGTTCTGCTGTGACCCATATGAAAAGCAGTAGGGGCTCAAAGGCAGAACAGCTGCCTCCTATTGGAGTTACTAAAGATTGCTGGTCATCTTAACTGGCTAGTGCTTGTTGCATAGAGAGAACTGAAGAATAGGATGTGCAAAAGGAATCACTGGGTCAAAGTGGTCATCAGGTTGTACTGACTGTAAATGCCCACCTTTGTTAAGAAGGCATCTCCACGAGAGATTGTCTGCAGTTGGTATGACCCTAGGAGAATTATGGCAGACTATTCCACAAATTGATACGACATTCTTCCTCCCCACCCTATTTGCAGCCTCTTGAAAAGAGAAATGCTCAAGATAAAGAGACAGGCAACTTTCCACAGCAGTGGCTACCACCCTTTGTTAGAGCTAGTGCATTAGTTACGTGAGCCTGTAAAGTTGGCTGAATAAAGGTCATCACTGTAATGGCATACATTGCACGAAGAAAGTTTACAGACTTACCATCTGAAACCTGTTCACTTCCTTGGAGCTAATCTGAAAGAAGGAAAAAGTAGAGATTTAAATACACCAATATTGAATGTACAGGGAGTACCTTACCACCACCTAAGCATAAGGTGAAAAGTTTCGGCTTGTTAAGCATCCATCCATGCACACAAACACTACATTGTTCAGAGCAAGCCTGAGAGAATAGACTCAGGAACTCGCTTCCCCAAAAGTTCGTGGACACTGGGAACTAATTGAAACTTTGAATTAAAAAAAAAAATCCACCAAACATAGACTTTAAATGTCACTTGGGACTACAAAATTTAAATATTGTTGAAAAGACAGACAGTTTCCTTTACAAGAGGGTCTAAAAATAAGAGTTCTCCTATTTAAGACAACAGATAACAAGAATTTCTCTCAGACAGTCATTAGTCTGTGGAATTCTCTTCCTCAGAGCAACAGAAGCTAGGTTATGAACATATTCAAGGTGGAATTAGACAGATCTTTGATATCCACAGTAGAAGGTCATTGTGGTGGGAGGGGAGACAGGAAAGTGGAGGTCAGATATATGAAGTAAATTACATCAGCCATGAATTTATCAAATAGTAAAGCAGGCTTAAAGAGCTAAATGGCCTACCCTTCCTTCTAATCCAGAAGTTTGTCCATGGCAGAAGGTTTTCATTTAGTACTCATCACGACAAATGCAGAATGCCAAATTTCAAATGATCACAGCAAATTATACTATAATAGAAAGGATTCAGCTTGGCCAAAGCTTTGCCATGGAGAAATAACCAAGGAACTATATATGCCCCAAGCTCCTAGGTAATTCAAAAAAAGGCACACGTAGATTGAACATATTCTTTTTGTTTGCACATAACTTGTCCCTACCTATGAACTCTTCAATACGACAATCAAATGAATTAATGCCTGCAGAATAAATTGTCGAGGTTTTGAAATTTGGCATTCTTGCATTTGTCCTGCTGAGGGAGACAAAAAGCTTGAGCAACGTATCTCACTTGTCAGCAAGATTTTCATTCGTTAAGCACATCAGGGGACATGATTCATAGGTAGGTAATTGGAGCTAAGGTATAGATCAGCCACACTGACTGACTAGAAGGAAAAGTAAATCTGATGGGCTGAACAGCCTCCCCACCCCATTTACAAATTAGCTACAGTTTGTGGTCATTCTCCTCCTTACACTTACCACTGTGCTAATCTTCTTCTTCCCATCAGTTGCCCTCAGTAGACACTTATTGTCAGCAGGTTCAAAGGTATCGGGGTTTCCTTTCCGTGGAACTGGCTTTGTCCGACCATCATCTATAGAAAGGTGCACATTACATTCTGCCCAGTTTCTTAAATTCACCTACTTCAATTTATACCCCTCCCTATCTCTGTAGTGTCTCCAGCTCTTACAGATCACTTCATTGCTCCATCATTGGTAGCTGTAACTTCAGTTTCTTAGGCACTGACCTCGAGCTCCTGACCAAAACCTCCCTCTCCACCTTGAAGAAAATGCCTATTTGACCAAACAGTTGATCATCTGCCTTGATATCTCCTTATGTGACACTCATGTAGTTGATATTATAATGTTATTTATGCATCTCCTGTGAAATGCTTTGGGCCTTTTTTTGCATTAATGCTATATAAACAAGGTATGGTTGGTCTTATACAGATGTATGAAGGTAAATCTTCTCATTGCACACCTGACTTTTATCCATTCAAATGCTGGATGGGAAGAATCACTACACTACAGACTACTTAGTTCATCTATCATGCTGATAGAACTCAGATACAATGGTAATGTTCTCTCATCAGTCTCCATTATTAGATTACAGCAGATCCAGACTCAAGTGGATATCTTTGGCAATCATAGGTCTAAAATAATTTCTCTTTCAAGCCTATTGTACATGAAGAGTATCAAATTACTCACTATATTCTAAAATAAATCAAAATAACTTACATTTTAAACAAAGGATTACATAGTATTGCAGAGCAACAAGGCTGATCAATGAGAAGCTGTCTCTATAGACAGCTATAGATTCTAATCTTGATCACTGCTTCCGCTGTCTCGGTGACAGCATATAATAGGGATGGGTAAACAGACTCTCTAGGAATTGGGGGAATTACCTCAGATTTACAGAATAAATAAGTGCCTTGGGCCCAAGTTGCCCATGTCTGTGTTCATGCTCCGCTCAGGCTTCTTGCTAAACCTTTTCCTTTAACCTCATCACATCCTGCAAATCCTTTCACCTATTCAGAGATAGTAGGAGCTGCAGATGCTGGAGAATCCGAGACAACAAGGTGCAGGGCTGGATGAACACAGCAGGCCAAGCATGATCATAGGAGCAGAGAGGCTGACGTTTTGGGCCTAGACCCTTCATCAGAAAAGGGGGAGGGGAAGGGGGTTCTGAAATAAATAGGGAGAGAGTGGGAGGTGGATAGAAGATAGATAGAGGAGAGGATAGGTGGAGAGGAAACAAACAGGTCGAAGAGGCGGGGATGGGGCCAGTAAAGGTGAGTGTAGGTGGGGAGTTAGGGAGGGGATAGGTCAGTCCAGGGAGGACGGACAGGTCAAGGGGGCGAGATGAGGTTAGTCGGTAGGAGATGGAGGTGCGGCTTGAGGTGGGAGGAAGTACAGGTTAGGGAGGTAGGGACGAGCTGGACTGGTTTGGGGTCCGCATCCCAAAACCAGTCCAGCTTGTCCCTGCCTCCCT